AGCCTCTCGATTGAGCTGAAAAACGTCCGCTTACGTTAAGAACTTTCCCGAGATCACTTGGAAACCATAGCAACCCCACACTGAAATTATGGAACAGAGAATTAACTCTGAAGCGTAAATTAAAGTGCTAATTGAAACCCATGAAAAACCTACTGTGCATTAGCCCTAGTAAAGGGTATACTGGAACCACACGAGGCAAAGAAATTCCTGTGACCTCGGTGGGAGGTCAACCCACATGTCCAACCCACGACCTCCGGATTATATCTACCTTTGCTCTGCCGACTAAGCTACGAGGCCGGACAGAGAAAGTCGGGGTCGATTAAGGTGGTCTCTTCGCCGCGATTCACCACCCGGTATGGTCGTCTGCGGCGTACGTTTGATACAAAGAAGTCTAAATGGATGATCGATATCAACTCTTTTACCGTTTTTATAATCACCGTCATGTTAAACAATGTACACTGTTGCGGTAATGATTTGATCTAGCGCCGTTCTTCAAATAACTGCCTTCTCAACCTCGTTCCCAGGGTCTCTCATCTTCCCGCCTCCAGGGGGGTGGGAAGATGAGAGACCCTGGGACCGAGGTTGTCCAAGGTAAACCTAAGCATTAATGTTCGGTTGGTTCTTATTTATTTATTCCTGCTATTCACACATTGGAAGAGAAATACACAAGAACAGCCAAAGCCGGGGGCTTAAATGGCCTAAGGTCAGCAAAGGAAGTGAAAAATTTACAAGAGTGGAAGAGAGCTTTAACTAAAATAATTACAATACAATTAAACCAAGAAAAAAAAGGTCAGTCAGAAAAAAAACCTTACAATTGCGATGCAATGCTTGGCAACTGATTTAAATATTTAAACGACTAATAATAAATTCCTCTACACCACACAAACAAATACACCTAATATAGTCCCATAAGGATGGAGATTATGCTTAGGCTAATTAACAACTCAGAGAAAAAAAGTCTTAATTTTTTTTTATAGTTGCTTACTGTGAGATTATTGCGCACCGATAACGGAATATCATTCTAAATAATAGGAGCTTGCCAAGTGATAGCAAATTGATATTTATGACAGGGTTAATGCAGATTAAAACGTGAACGAGTCAAATAATTATGATATTCAGAATCAAAATGAAGCATCGAGGAAACAGGAGCAGGTAAAAGGTTATTAAAATGTGAGAATACAAAACAGGCAACATGGAATTTATATATAGAGTAAAGTGAAAGAATATTATGCTTAGAAAAAAGGGGTTTAGAGGATGCGCGCAGAGGAGAAAAAGTAGATATACGAACGGCTTTCTTTGGAAGTACAAGGTAATGTTCTCCCAGAGCTCTCGGAGTGATTTGTGAATGTCCTGATACCAAAATACGACGTTTGTCAAGTAGTGTTTTATACTTCATGTGTACGAAGTTTCAAAGGTCCAGTGTGTATGGTTTTTCTCATCAACCTCTTCAAAGTCGTCGGTTAGGCCGAAGAGGAATGTGGAGAAGAAGAAATTATCTAAGTAGCTGGTCAGCATCAGCGGTGAGGTTTCCATATGTTTTTTGGCTTACTTGTAGTTATGAAGGGTATTTTAGGTGTAATATTGTTTTCAGAATAAAACTAGTTTACAGAAAAGCCAAAATGTTCCGAATTCTGACTTTTTTCTACGGTTAGTTTTGGTTCAGCTAGTTTAAGATCTCAATGCATACGATATTTTACACTAACATACGGAATTGTGAAGTGGTAAAGCTATAATACGATGTTTTCAGAATCATCATCTAGTCCTTTCAGAGTAATATAAGGACATTCTGTCCAACAATTGTTGGACAATCTAGCTATTGACGGAATGCTTTTAATGTTTTACTTTTCGCAGTATTTTAATACTGCGAAAAGTAAAACTATTGTCTGAGGTTGACATTGAACTATCAATTATCTAGTGTGGTTTTCTTTTCCTCACCAAAATTTGTTTTGCTTTGTTTTAGCCTTTAAACCATAAGTGACCAGTTTCGAATTTCTCCTTACAGTCTTATGGCTGAACCATTCATTAAAATAACAAGAGTAAAGGAAATGATTGCAAAACTGAGAAGCTTTGTTTGTCAAACAAATTCTCCTAGTCAGCACCAAAGAAAATGTGTAGAGGACAGTGAGGACAATATTGGCACTGATGTTTGATATATGAAAAAATTTAATTTAAACTTAAGGGTATCTAATTAACTAACAATATTTTGCCCCTCCATTTCTCTTCTTTATCGTCAATTTCACTGTTGAAATGGATGTAAACATAACACAATTAAAAACAAACACACAGGTCGACTCTTTTCTTCTGTACATAATTACTCTGTTATTGTGAAGCTTTGGTTTCAAATCTGTTGCTGAACCCAGAGACTAATAGTCAAGATTTATAAAATTGAATCTGCACTTCATGAAGCCTACCTACATACGAGTTAAAACTATATCTCCAAGTTTATCTGGTCAGGACAATTGAAGAAATTGGATGATAATCCTCAATATCTATGTGTGATTTATGAATCAAGGATAAATTTTCACATCAAAGACAAATATGAATATAAATCTTTATGTTAAATTAAAAGAACGTCTTTGTTATTGCTTACCGAATGCAGTTTGCGTGACAGTCAATCCTTAATTTATGTTCTGGGAGAATTATTGTTTTATATTTAAATTCAAATGACCAGGTATGCATGATATTTCTTCCTTAACCATTTTAATAATAATAATAATAATAATAATAATAATAATGATAACAATAATAATAAACAGTTTAACGTGGAGAAACACTTAGCTAGAAGCTAGTTTACAGGTTTTCCACGAAACAACTTAAACAAATAATTCAAATTGAAAATAACGTTGTTAAGAATCCCACCTGGCCGAAGGCAAACCAGTTGGCTATATTGCAAGCATGGCCGAGGATTTGAAACTCGGGGCTACCGTGAAACAAATCCAAGTAGTGGCCAGGGCGGGACTTGAACCCGGGAGCGACGGATTGCGAGTCCGACACGCTGACCACTCGACCAACGA